ATTTCAATTGCAAAACAAGTACTGGTGCTATCGAAATATAAGGCCATTCAGAAGAGTAAAAAAGGAAAAGTGACATCTCCCCTCCCTTTTTCCCAGTAACTGGCCCCACTCCCAAAGGATAACTACTACTAAGATTATGTATTCTTCCAGAGAAGTACACATGTCATATATAAATACATATACATCGTGTTTATGTACACATATTACATATATTTTTTTAAGATTTATTTATTTATTCATATAGAACTGGGGTAGAGGCCAGAGACGCGGAGGGTGAGAGGATTCACCAGAGACAGAGCAGGGAGCAGAACAGGCAGATAGACACAGTACACTGCTGAGGGGAGCAGCGGGCGGGTCAGGAGAGGTCTGCCACGCCATGTGGTCACCTCCCGGGCAGGCGGGGATCGAACTCATGAGGAAGTGGCTTAAGCTTCTTAGTGCAGTGCTTTAACCCGCTGCGCTACCAGGGAGGGCCACATATTACATATTTAAAAAAAAATAAATGAGATTCAGTTTTCAGTGTCTTGTTTTTCCCACATTATGCATAGGTATCTCAAAACACCTCCTTTTACCAGCATCATAGTATTCATTAGCAAGAATGTGCTGTAATCTGATCTATCTTGAGTACTGCAACTTGCTGCTGCTACTGTAAGTATTGCTGCCTATATAATGTAACACTAGTATGAATACTTCTGAAGGTTGAAGTCCAAGATTGAGAGTGCTGGTTAAAAGAGTAGGGTATGTACACTGTAAAAATTTTTTATAGTTATTAACAAATAGCCCACAAAAAAATTTACAATTCTTCCTACCACCGTAACAGTATCCTAACACATTTTAAAATTAAAGTAGACTTCTACTGAATGTCAAGTACCAAAGCAAAGCTTGCCAAAAAAAAATCAGTCTAAAGTGAGAATGAGAACTAATATTTACCAAGCACTTAAGTACCAAACACTGCACTTAAACTTTACAATATCTCAGTTCTGTACAGTGAAGGACACCATCTCCATTTTTTGAAAGAGGAAAAGAAGGTTTAAAGAACTTCCCGATGTTACAGCTATATAGGTAACAAGGCCAACTCTTGAGTTCAGGGGAACTGGTACAAAGTGAGACCATACGAAACAGTCCGGATCTGACACCAAAGTGAAGGGGGTCTTAAAAACAAACAAGGGTTCATGATCAACCAGGCAGAGGATGATTGGGAAATATTTGCTCACAGTTGCAAATGTTAATTTCATGCTACTGCCAAGAGTCATATTTTCCCTTTTAGACTTTGCCTATGAACCCACTCTCAAGCTGTGCACAGGAATCCAGTACCAAGAAAGAAACAGTGAGCTCACAGCCCACGTAAGCTAGAGGGACTGACCAATATGCACTTGGAAAATTGACAGGTCGGGGTGGGGAATGAGTATCAGGTGGTAAGCTAGTATGGCAAAGTAAGATATTTTGGACTCCATATCAGCTGTCACCAAACCATTATGAGGGAAGTGGAACTACTGTACACATGAGCGAGAACCACAACGAACCGACACTTTATTTACACCACCTTTCCCTGTTTCAAAAACCTGCTATTTCTGCTGCAAAGACATGCTGAGCCCAGAAACTTTAGGATGACATTTAATCACTACAGAAAAGACAGCTGGCAGCTCTGTGCCCTGACAAAACAGGTTAAACTAGCACCAGGCAAATGCCTTGCCCACTGCTCTGGCCATGCAGCTTCCCTTGAAGGCCCTTCGAAGGCTGCTTTCAACTTCCCTGGAGAATGTGATCACCTTCCCATTTAGCTGTTTGGCCTGTTGTCAGGGAGGAGAGCTAGTAACTGTCCCTAGGTGGGTGGGGATGTTCCTTTCAATTATAATGTTAACCATGTGTCTGTCTTACTGTTCTTAATCCTTTGCACCCAAACAAGCTCTTATAGATTTGATTTGCATATACCATCCTAAGGTAACATGTCCAATTCTTTAGAGATAAGATGATAGAGAGGAAAAAAAACTCTTCCTCTTTCCCTATTTTGCCCCCATTCCTGACAAAGACTTGTAAAGTTTCATAGGTGCAGTCAATAACTGAAAAGTCACAGAAAGCTGACATCATGTGTTTTAAATAGGAAGACGTATACATCAAATTAGCTGATTTGAAGGGCATATTAAAATGCCATCACAAGCACCAGCAAACAAGACATGGACACAGTATTCAGTGATTCCACTTCCATAGTTCAAATATCATCAAGCACAAAAGGGTATATAGTGATGTCTCCTTCCTTGTCCCACCCTATGTCACAGCCACCTAGCTCCTCCCCCACAAGTAAAGGACATCCTCCAGAGCTTCTCTGTGGCTATACCAGCAAATGAGCATACTATCACAATATGTTTTCATATATGAAAACACGTGTAACTCTCCCAATACTACATATGTTGGTTGCTATGTATAACTCTCTATAGTTATATGTTGATTTATTTTAAAGAATTAGTCTTCTCTCAAAGTGTCTTTAAATATTTTTAAATTGACAAAAAGTATACATATTTATTTATACATATTTTTAAATTTCAAAGTATATTTTTGAAATTCTTGAGAGTTGAACTTTAAAAATTTATCAACATTAACAGTTGAATTGCTTACCTCCAGAAATGAAATTGGATACCCAGCACATACCAGATACTTAACAAATGTTTCCTGAGATTTTTTTCATCTTTTATTACTCAGATGCAATGGGGCAATTACTCACTTCCTCCATTGATAATGAGAAATGAAATCTGATCCTTACTACTAAAAAAGAGAAGTCCTGAAAACCTGTCCTGTCTTCACTTAAGTATCATGATTTTCATACTGAATTTTATCAGAGTCCCTAATCCCAACAGTCTTAGCATATAAATATTATTAGCTAAACAAACAACCTTATAATTCAGATGGGGTGGGTTGGAAAAGACTAAATGTCCTGTGGGAGAAAGACAGCGATCTTTTCTCACAGGCCAATACATTAATCAAAATATTAATACATTAAATATTGCTCAAAATACATCAAAATGTTAATATGTGACACAATGGAGGATATCACATCTTGACTGACTAAATTTCTGAATACATTTCAGAGACACACTGAAAGCCAAAGACAGACCAAAATTACATGAATGCTATAAGATGATGCTGCCTTTTCTGAACAACCATCAGTTAAACCAGATTTCAGTAATACAAAATGAAACAGGCCCCAGTGACTAAAAGATTGAGCTGTGTTTAAAAAGTATGTATCAGCAAAGGAAAACTCCACTGTCATTTTTAAGCCTTAAGATAAAGGTGACTGGGCTCCTAAGAACATGGAGTACAACTCAAGAAATACCTTTTTAAATATCCATTTATTTTCCCTGCACTTGAACATGTATTCAGGTGCCTGTCAAATTTACCTTGTTAAAAGTATTCCACATTGTACTTTAATGAATTGGACTTGGGAGCTAAAAAATATAAACCTTTTCGAGGTTATCTATATACAAATAAAGGAAATCCTTCACTTACATTGTGGCTCACTTGCACTGTCCTCTGAAATGACAATGTGCTTCAACTTCCCACTCCATCTGCTCAGGCAACTTCCGAGCGTATCTGCAGTCTTGGCTTCAGTCATTCGCCACTAACAACCATCACAGAACTTAAGGACGCCCAGGTGTTAGTGTTCGCAGGTGGAATTGCCAATAACCAAGTTCAGTTTTAAACCTGCTATTGTTTCAATTCAAGATCTCAGGCCTCCTGATAACACTGCGTAACCTTGGTTGCCAGGAACCTGCGCTGCCAATGACCAACCAAGAACCATGAGAAGCAAGGCCTAGGGCCAAGGGTAATTTTCACATTAAAGATTAAGGTGCATGCTTTCCATTCTCTATCTGGGACTCCTGAATGGAAACTGAGTGGAGAGATCCCTCCACTATAAGTGATGAAGTAAAATGTTCCCTACTGGGAACAGTCACAAAGTGGGTTCATCTATTTCACATGAGGATGCCAATCAGGGCCTTCACTTCACAGAAATTAAATTCAGAAAGAGACTACTTGGCTGCGGTTTGTAGCCCTAGGGTAGGGGGCTGGGGACACAGGGAAAGGAAGAGGGAGGATTCAGATTACAGCTCACTAACATCCAAGTAATAGCATAATATTTGTACTGACCAACATCTAACAAATGTGCCATTAAATTCTGTAAGGGTGGTGCCATCCACATACCCTCACAACAAAAGAAGGCTGACTCTAGAATTAAAAGCAACTACTTTTCCCCTTCATATGCTCAGGAATATATCTTCAAAGTGGAGTCCAGGTTAGAATCAGAGAAATACAAAAGCTCCTCTTTGTTTGGAAAAAGCAAGTAACTGGGTAAACTTCCCACCAGGACTTAAGTGTGTGGGACATGCCCATCTCCTGGACTAGGCCTGGCAAGGTGCTGCACCACTGTGGGCTCTGGAACACGCTCACCTTTCGCAGAGCTTCATGCAAGAGACTGGGGACACAGATCTCATAAGTGGGTGCCCACCCAGGCTGACCATGGATGTGGCATCCACTAGGCCAGGCAAGCCCATACCCAAGCCTAGAAGCCCTGAGCCTTCACCCTCACGCTCACTGTGGCTGCTTCTTGGGGTGGTGCGGTCTCCCGGGAAGTCACCCCCCTCTCACCCACCTTCCCTTCAGGCCACACACACGCACCCATGGAACTGGGGCGGTGGTACTGGGGCCGTAAGGGAAGTCGAAACCGAGACAGAATAGGGTGGCCCGAACCGGGTCATCGCTGTGCCTTTCGTTTTCCAGACGAGCCACTGAAGAAGCGTGGAGATGGGTGGGATTCATTTTAACGGTAATAGAAAGCCAGGAAATGCAGACAGTTGACCTTGGGAACCAACACCGTCGCAGCGGGAAACGGAAAAGAAATGAAACACGTTGGCAAGTCAAGGGGGAGCACCGCGCAGCGCGAGGGGGAAGCGCAGCCGCGCGGCCGCCGGAGGGGTGCCGGGTGGTGGGTGCGGGTAGGGGGTGCTCACCGTAGATCATGGCCAGTCCGGTCTCGTGCAGGAAGCGCACCCGGCGGTGCTTGAAGAGCCAGATGGTGAGGATGGTGAGCGTGAGCAGCAGGATGAAGGTGAGCAAGCTCACGCTGTCTTGCCGGTGGCTCTCCTCCGCCTCCTTCTCGGTGGCCAGCTCCTCCATGGCGCTGCTGTCCTCGGCCGCCGCCCCAGAGGAGGCCGCGGCCACCGCACGCAGCCCCCGACCCAGCAGCAGCGGCAGCAGCGGCAGCAGCAGCAGCCGC